AGCTGTTAGTCAGAAATCTAGCATCCCACCTGATGTGCCCCATGCTCCATCTAACCTGAGATCTAGTATGCACTTAACCCTGGACGCAGATTTGCGGAAACAAATGCCTTCACTTAATCCACGTGAGAAAATAATTTAGTATAATTTAGTGATTTAGTAAGTCGGAATAATATCAAATGTGACAATTTATTATTAGTCAGGTAAAATGTATTATGTCAATTACATAGTAAATTCAAAGATAATCAATCCAAAACTTGAACAACCATCAATCACTTAATTAACCCTCGCATTGAGTTCCTCAATGAGGTTAAAATTATATTAAATGCACCAGTTCAGCTGGAGGTACTTGCATTGCCTGTGTAAGGGGTTCCCTTTGTGTTGTAGTTGCAGAGAAGGGGTCTCCCAAGATTGCTGATTGGCTGGAAGTTCAGTAGTCATTGAAGTGATGGGAAGCCAATGGTTGGGCGTTGGCTGAAGATGCTGAGTCTGTGGGCTGGTTGAATTTTGGAGACGGGCACAGGTCGAACTCGGAGACACGGCGTTAGGCAAAACTTAACTCAGAACACGAAACTCTCAACGGAAAGAAAAGAAACTAAAGTAAAAGAATAGAAGTAAAGTTTGACGAGACTAGATGGTTTTCTTCTCATCGTGGCTAAGTAGCAGCGGGCGTGCAGGTCTAAGCATGCTGGAACGGCGCTCGAAGAACGCAAAAGCAATGACTTGAACCATAACTAAAAAGCATGACTAAAAGCGAAAAGCTAAACAGCAAAGTTTGATGGTGTCCTGAGTATTTAAACCGGGCTGTTTGACACACCCCCAGAGAAGAATAAGGATGATAGGAACTGTGAGAAAAAACAAGCCAGAGCTCCTAAGTGCTTTGGTCACAAGAAGAAACAGGACTCGTTTTTCATCTTTGTTTGCATTCATCGAGACACACACCATCGAGTCCTATATGCCCAAAAAAGAACAAGAACGTGATTCTTATGAGCACCGCACACAAGGATGCAGCAGTAAGTGAACGGGAGGACAGAAAGCCAAAAATTATTTTGGACTACAACACTACCAAAGGTGGAGTGGACAATCTGGACAAGGTATGTGCTACTTTGTATTTGTTCACTGCTAATAATAATTGTATAATATTTGATAATAACTTCTAGTCTAAGCTAAAGAAATTTTAGTCCATTTACTAAAATGTTGTGAATCTGTGTGTGTGTGTAATATTCCAGATCGTTGCAACATACACATGTGGACGGAAGACAGCTCGCTGGCCCATGGCTCTCTTCTTCAATATAATCTATGTCTCAGCCTACAATTCATTTGTGCTGTGGAGGGAAATCAATCCCACCTGGAGACAGTGGAAAAATTCCAGGAGGAGGAATTTTCTGGAGGAGCTGGGGAAAGCTCTGGTGTACCCCTTCATGAAGAGAAGACAAAGCATTCCTCGCACACCAGTCTCTGTTAGCTTCCTAAAAAAAGTGTAGGATTCCATGGATGAGGAAGGTGGTTCCTCCACGGCTGTTGACTGCAGAGCTGGTCCCTCCATGGCTCGTGCCTCAGCGGCTGGTGCCTCTGCTGCTGGTCCCTCCACGGCTGGTCCCTCCGCTGCTCATGCCCCCATGGCCGGTCCCTCCACGGCTCGTGCCTCAACGGCTGGTCCCTCCACGGCTGTTGCCTCAGTGGCTCGTGCCTCCGCGGCTGGTCCCTCCGTGGCTCATGCCTCAACGGCTGGTCCCTCCACGGCTCGTGCCTCCGCGGCTGGTCCCTCCACGGCTCGTCCATCAACGGCTGGTCCCTCCACGGCTCGTGCCTCCGCGGCTGGTCCCTCCACGGCTCGTCCATCAACGGCTGGTCCCTCCACGGCTCGTGCCTCCGCGGCTGGTCCCTCCACGGCTCGTCCATCAACGGCTGGTCCCTCCACGGCTCGTGCCTCCGCGGCTGGTCCCTCCACGGCTCCCTCTGCTGCTGGTCCCTCCACCGCTGGTGCCTCAGTGGCTGGTGCCTCCGCAGCTGGTCCCTCCGCGGCTCGTGCCTCAACGGTTGGTCCCTCCACGGCTCGTGCCTCAGCGGCTGGTATTATGAATGAATGATGATGCATTTATATACCATCACAGCCGCTCACACGTGTTTTGCGCATGAGCTGCACACGCAGCCCAAAATGAAATAGCTTAATCGATCATCGATAGCTTTAATCGATTGCATCTCTTATAGACAATTAATCGATCATCGATTAATCATTGACATCCCTATCCGTTTAAAAAAATGCCGTTTTTAATAACAGTTATGAAATGTAATAGAATGTAATATAATGTAATGAGTCCATTAAATTTCAAATCTAGCTTTTGTGTTGTTGTTGTTTTTTTTTGTATGTCAGTGTGGCGTGTCTTACGATGTTGATATGTTCCCTGTCTTGCATTGATCATGTGCAATAAAAAATGAAAAATATGCAATAAAAATTTTAAATGACAGTAAAGAAATTAATAATGGTAATAAAGATTATTTCAAATAATTCACATTTCTTATTAACACATAATTCATATATTTCAATCTCTCTGCTCATAGAAAAATAAAAAACACCTCCACACAATTACTGAGCAGCTTATAACAGCTATACAGCATTTTCAGTTATATAACAGATATAAAATAATAATCAGAAATGTTTCTTGAGCAGTAATCAGCATGATTTCTGAAGGTTTATGTGACACTGAAAGGTGGAGTAATGGAGCTTTAACATGACAGGAAAAATACATTTTAAAATATATTCAAATAGAAAGCCCTTCTTTCAAATTGTATATTTACTGCTTTTACTGTATTTTTGATTTTTAAAAATGCAGCCTTGCTGAGCAGAAGATATTTCTTTTAAACCCAATAAAAAAATTGTACCTGCTTTTGAATGGTGGTGTATATATACAGGTGTGCCTTAGGCTGGCCACAATAAAAGGCCACTCTAAAATGTGCAGTTTTATCACACAGCACAATGCCACAGATGTTGCAAGTTTTGAGGGAGCGTGCAATTGGCATGCTGACTGCAGGAATGTCCACCAGAGCTGTTGCCCGTGAATTGAATGTTCATTTCTCTACCATAAGCCATCTCCAAAGGCGTTTCAGAAAATTTCGCAGTACACTACTTTGGTGGAAAAAGAATGAAATCCCTTCTTTTAGCAAGCTTGCCAAGAAACACCTGGGAATCCTTGCATCATCTGTACCCGCAGAAACGATTTTCTCAAAGGCAGGACAGTTAATAAGCCAGAGAAGAAGTGCAATAAAAGGTAGCCTAAATGTGTTATTGTTTCTGAACAAAAACCTCTAAGTCTTAACAGAGTGTCAAGGTTTAAAAGGGGGCTGCAGGGAATATTTCCTTGGACAAAGGAGGGTTTGAGGGTGAGTATTAGAGGCAATAGTAGTTTGTGCTTTTGTTTAGTTATTTGCACTTTACTTCATTTTTTACAAGCAATTGTGTGCACTTTGTTTATATGTCTAATGAAAGGGATACATTTTATTTTGTTATTTTGAAAAAATCACTGAAAGAAAACAAAAGTTAAAAAGTTAAAAAAAAAAAATTTTTTAAACATTTGTTCTCCCGTAATAATTTTGTGCACTGTTTATTTAAAATGTATTTGAAATGTATATTTGTTTAAAATTTATTTGTTTAAAGACAGAGAAGTGGTGCTAAAAGAGCAATTATGTTTTGTTATTATACCATTGTTTCTGAACAAAAACCCCAGACTGAAGGAAAGAAAAATTACATTTTTAAAACATTCATTGTTCTCCAGTAATAATTTTGTGCAAATTTCGTGTTTCCCAATTCAGTTCATTACAGTAATAAAAATATTTATTAATTATTTTGGCTTAAAAGTGTTTAAAATCTGTCCTGGGTTTTAACATACACATTTAATTACAGGTGCTTTAAGAGCACAAACTACAAAATCTTTTAGTGTTTATGAAAATTCGTTCTGATCTAGCATATTAATGATGCATTCACCTAATAAATCATGACACACTGCTCTCCCATACAGGAAAGTACATGTAGGTTCAAATGCATGCTTTTAAAAGTAAAAATATCAGTATCAATATCGGCAATACAGGCCCTGTATTTACTTGGTATTGGACCGATACCAGGGTTGCCAACTTTTAAGTTCAACTTGTTAAGTTCGATCTTGATTCAATATCAATTCATGTGTATACTGTAAATATATAAGGGATAAAAATCGTTTGTTGAATGCTGTTGAATGCCTTTTAAGCATAATTTTAAACTTAAATTCAGTATTTGCTTGCATTCATTGGACCTCATTCATGAAACACGAGCAGAACAAATTTTTGTGTAAAATGTTCGTAAAGCTGTTCTGACGTACATTTTCGGATTCATGAAAGTGTTCGTATTTTCAAAATGTTAGTTGGTGGGAAAGAAATGGACACCTGCTCCCTACCACGTGTAAATGGTGCGTAAAACGTTCTGTGTTCTTTTGGCAAACTGATGACACAGAATTTTGATGTACTGCCATCATAATATTTTACAAGTTCGTTTGCTCTGTTTTTGTTTTTTTGTTGTAGCTGGGAGTTGATAAACTGTTTAGATTTGGGTAAAACGCAACGCTTGTCACTGTCACTTTTTACACAGCCGTCCAATCAATGGAGGAGGGGCAGGACAAATACGAGGCTACACCGACCAATTACCCTACTTGTACAACAACTAAACAACAACAGAGAAGTTACCATTGCTGGTTACTGCATTTTTATATTCAGTAATATTCTTCAAAATGAGATGCTAGTAATGCGTTGCTGCCGTGGATATTCCAAATTATAGCAATCAAAGCGTCTCAGCTGGAAAAACGCTGTGCCACCAAAGCGTCCTCCAGCACCACCAGCTGGCCGTTTTCAGAAGAGCGCCTGACATTTTTCAGCTGGCTAAAAACACTTTGGTGGCCACACGTTATTGAATATTTATTGTTAGGCATATGGCCTATTAGTCTTTTTTGCATTTATGCAATATACTGGAGCCAAACCTGAGAAAGTAGACCAGATTATTCCACTGTGTTCCTGGACACGCAATTTGCATAGCTGTAGTTCATAGGCGGGGATTGTGGTAATTGTGAATGAGCGTGCATGAGTGCCCTATTTACGAATCATTGGAATTCATTAACATACGCATGTTTAACTATCAAATCGGAAGTTTACGAAGCGTTTGTGAATCATATACTGGAGCCAAACCTGAGAAAGTAGACCAGAATATTCCACTGTGTTCCTGGACATGCAATTTGCATAGCTGTAGTTCATAGGCGGGGATTGTGGTAATTGTGAATGAGCCTGCATGAGTGCCCTATTTACGAATCATTGGAATTCATTAACATACGCATGTTTAACTATCAAATCGGACGTTTACGAAGCGTTTGTGAATCTGGAGTAGAGTTTTCGGGAAGGTCCGTTTTACACGCAAATTACTCAGAACTTACTCCTACATTTACGAATGTTTCATGAATGAGGCCCATTGTGTGTAATTATCCGAGTATCATTAAAAAAAGGATGTAAGTTATTAACTTTAAATTTATCAGTGATAAATCTAGTGTTTAATCATGTCTAAAAATGTATTCAAATGAAGAACTTAAAAATAAGTAAGCAGGTATGACCTGCAATATTCTAGATATATTTAGTAAAGAGCCATACAGGTACCTAGTGGGTAAACCATGTCATTACAAATGAATCTTTTTTTTTTTAACCACAAAATTACTCTAATTTGCCTCTTTGCATTGGAATTTAACACCCTTTTCTCTATTTTAACCTTAAGTACTACACTAATTGTCATATAAGTAATAGAAATATTATAAAAATATATTTTTCATCATCCAAGTGGATGCTGCACACTGGTGGTGGTTGAGGAGAAACCCCCCCCCCCACATGATTGTAAAGCGCTTTGGGTGTACAACAATACACAGTAAAGCGCTATATACATGCATCATTCATTCATTCATAGTTTAAGTCATTAGGCTAATGTACCATAATTATTGTACAAATAGTATTTAGTACCAAAAGATCTCCTCAAAATATTAAATAAATATTATTGAACTAAAATATACAGCACTTATTTAACTGAAAAAAGCTGTATGGTCACATTATAAGCAATATCCGAAGGTTAAGAAAACCATATTAATGTTGCCTCTCCATCACTCTCCAGAATAAAATGATACAGTAAATGTCATCGACGTAATAATCAATGCATAATATGCTATAATGTTTATCAAAAATTGCTGCAAATACCTGTATAATAAAGCTGTCGTCTATCCATTCAAATATATTGTCAACGCTGGTCTGTTTGGAGAGCTCCATGAACCACGTGAGATCAAAGCTTGTCGCAACTCTGTTTTTAAATGGCTCTGGCTTTAACTGAAGCGCTATATTTACGCCACATTAAAGTTTTGAAAAACTGAAAAAACTTGAAAGCTGAGACTTGTTTCATATAGCAAGCAGGGTTGCCAATTTGGTGTGAGATTTATTTTGATTTTTTTGGCGTTTTATGCCTTTTATTTAGATAGGACAGTAGGTCGACAGGAAGCGAAGTGGGTGAGAGAGAGAGAGAGAGAGAGGGGAGTGGGATCGGGAAAGGTCCACGAACCGGGACTTGAACTCGGGACGCCCGAAGCGCAAAGGCGCTACATGTCGGCGCGCTGCCCACGAGGCCATCGGTGCCGACTGGCGTGAGATTTACATAGGCAGAGTGAGAGTGTGAGACAGAGCCTGGAAGCGCGTGTCTCACGCCAAATGCATGAGAGTTGGCAACCCTGCCGATACAAAATTTTGCAGTATCACCCACCCCTAGTTTGAAAGCTGCGTCTAAAATCTCGAAATGCTGGTATCGTCACATTTTGAAAATTTCAATACAGACTGGTACTGACATCAGTACTTTTGACAACACTAGTTGAGACAGAACAAGTCTACTAGGTGGTACTGCACATGTGTCGAACTCCTCCATCCATGCTCACCCGCGGTTGAGTATACTTCAAAAGCTGTGCGGACGCGACTGTGAAAAGTGAAGTATACCCGGGCCTCGAGGCAACCCACTCCATGACAACTAAAACCACTTTAATTACAACACTTATTTGACATTCTTCAAACACATTGTTCATTTCCCACAGCTGTTTTTATGTTTTGGGATAGTTTTTCATGAGTCCTTTGTCCTGAACAGTTCAACTGCCTGCTGTTCTTCAGAAAAATCCTCCAAGTCCTGCAAATTCTTTGGTTTTCCAGCATCTTCTGCATATTTAGCCCCTATCCGACAATTACTTATAATTTTGAGATCCATCTCTTCACTCCGAGGAAAAATGAAGGACTCGTTGGTTTGTAAAAGTTATCATTATACAGGTTTGTGTTTGTTGTTCTCGTTGCATTTACACTGCTTTGAGCAGCAGGTGTCGTCAGTGTGCGGTGATTCGAGCGATTCAAAACAGTGAAATCATTTTGCAAAGTATTTGATTCAGCTGATTCAGAGTTTCGAAAAGCTCCGTTAGTCTCATCACTTGCCAGTGACCGAATTGCGCTTTACTCACATAAAATAACGTTAATTTATATTAGATAAAGCATTACAATGTTACATTTCATATTAAGTAGTTAATTTATAATGCTTGTAAAACTATAAAATACACTGACCGGATTGCATTGATTTAAACACATTCAATGTTTACAAACAAACCTTTCATCAGCCGAACCACATCAGATAAAGGAGCTTATGACATCACATCGGCAGAGCAAAATAAAAGTCCCGTTCATACACTGTGTCTAAAACAGGGGTGTCCAAACTCGGTCCTGGAGGGCCGATGTCCTGTAGAGTTTTGCTCCAACTTGCCTGAACACACCTGCCTGGAAGTTTCTAGTATGCCTAGTAAGACCTTGATTAGCTGGTTCAGGTGCGTTTGATTAGGGTTGGAGCTAAACTCTGCAGGACACCGGCCCTCCAGGACCGAGTTTGGGCACCCCTGGTCTAAAACCACCAAGCACATACAAATTACAGACTATAAAAATACATACAAATTGTAAACATATGTAAACAGTATTCAGAGTTAAATTCTTGGTGAAACACACATTTAAATGCATGTGGTGAGCATTTTATTTTTCACTATTGTTTTCCCTAAATTTTTGTTTGATGTATTTTTCTATTGTATAAACTTTTCTTTTTCTTTTACTATTATACAATAAACAATGTTTGTCAAATTAAGTCTTTATCAGATGTCAAACTATTTTACAAAATAAAAAAAGGAACATTTAATAGGTATGCTGCAATGTGTTATTCTTAATTGTGCTCAATTAATTGTGATTGTTTGTGTAAGAACCTCGAACTATGAGTGTCCACCTGAACAGCATCAAACAAACTTAAGTGTTTTGATTCACTTTCAATTCACTTTACAAATTTAAATTGTACTTAAGTATAAAAAGTAGAAGTGTGCTACCAAAAAAAAAAAATTATAATAAATTGAAAAATAAATGGCATGAAATGTTTTATCAGACAGAGATAAAAAGTTTTAGTTAAAGGGAGAAAACAACATAACACAATGGCTGCAGGTCAAAAACATGACCTTCCGGCCATCTGATATGTTTATGACTTTAATTTTCAGATTAACTTAAAACAAAGAAGATGCTTCAAAAACTACACGATGTGAACATGATGGTAACCCATGTTGTGCGTGTATTTATATATATATATATATATATGTGTGTGTGTGTGTTTATACTGTGTGTATATACAGTATATAGTGCCCATTTCTAAAATGTAAAAAAAATGTAGTTTTTATCAAATTAAATAATTAACTATTATTTTTATTTTAGTATTAACTTTTTTTTGCATCACCCGAAAGCAGACGCATACCAATTGTACATGAAGAGATGCAACGGTTAATTAAAGTTTATACAAATTTTAAATAAATTACAAAAATTTATATATATATATATAAAATGTAAAAATGAGATCACTTCAAATGCATCTAAAGCCTTGTTTCCACCGAGCGGTATGGTACAGTACAGTATGATTCGGGACAGTACACCCTGATCCGGTTTGTGTTTCCACCTCCAACAGTCCCCTCACTTGATAGGCGTGGTGTATGCTGGAAAGTAGCGATCGACATAATACTCACACGGAGAAGAAAGCGTGTGTGTGAAAATATAAAATTCTAAAATACACTTTTATATTTTTTGTGTTTGCGCACTCTGTTGTAAACAAGCCCAACACGCATGAGCAGCATGGCAGAACGAGTGAAGGAGACGCTTCATTCTCCTTGTAGCACATGCAAGTGATGATTCTCTGTCAACCAATCAGCATTCTGCAGTGAGTCTAGCTCCACCCATTTGGTACCAGACTACTGTGCTAGTTACCCCAAAGGAAGGGTCCCAAAAAAGTATGGTACGATTCGCTGTTTTGGTACCATTCACAACTTCTGACAATGGAAACGGAAATAATTGCGTACCATACTTTACTGTACTAGACCGTGTCACTTGGTGGAAACGAGCCATAAACTCTTCATGTGCTCACGTTCATGACCGTTACTAACATCTTGAACATAAACTACAAATCAAATGCACATTGATGGATCTTCTTCCATCTTTTCTCCAATATGTATTCAAATGTATATTTCTGCAAGCACATGTAACTGTATCTAACCATTCCATTCAAGAAGACAAACAGGTCGCCCACCAGTGCACAGATATGCGGGGTTGGCAGGTATTGATTTCATACTCTCTGATCAACGGTAGCTTATTTAGTTTATAAATTGAAGTATATGTACAAAAACCTGGTAATGTCACACTTTGTAGTAGTGGTATTGCGTTCTTCCTATCCGACGCTCTTCTTCTGTGTACTCTGAGTGAGAAGCCGCTTCAGACGATTCAGACTTGTTTGATCAAGTCGTAATATAGAATCGACTCAAAAGAGTGATTCATTCACGAATGGAGCATTGTTCATGTCCCACCAAAAAAGAGACCGCACATTTGGAATAATCTACACATTTCTAAAAGTGTATTGTATTCAAATGAAGTAACACGAGGAAGGGCATGGCCTCAAAATTAAAGGTGAATGATGCAAAATAAAGCCAGCAGGGGTCAATCATAATTCATAACATAAATAAAACAAGTTAATTTTGCTGAAATGCATTATACATGGAAGTTATGACGC